TATACATACATACATACACATACATACATACATACATATATAACTCTTATCAGTAGAAACTACGGGTTAAAGCCACGTGGTATAGCAGGTAACGAGATAGTGCAGTAGGGCGAGTCCTCGATAACCGCATAACATGGGCGAGCACTCACACAGCCTCTGAACCACACGACAATACAACACCCTTTTTAGGTACGGCATCCAATGAAAACTAGTTTGTAAATAGAACCAAAAGGACGCGCCAAAGCGTCGCTTCACATACCCGTAGGTGACTATAGCCAGGCGTTTGCCCTGGCCGTAGCACGTGATCTCATCCCACCCCAACACCTCCTCCGTGTCTGTGTACGGTGTTTGCCACAGATCATCTCTGCCCAGCACGTGCCTTGTATTCAGCAGGTTGGTCGAGTCGACACTCATCACCACACGGCCTGCGGTGAGACGTGAGTGATTGGTGCAAATACGAATTAACACAGCCAGAGGTGGGAAGTACTAAAACCCTAAAGCTTAAAACAATCGAATGCACGCCTGGCCCAACAGCAAGGAAGCCACACCAGGCTCAGAGAAGCCCTTCCGAACTTCGGACCCAGCAGCAGGCACACGGATGTTATAGGGTTACAGGGTTGCAGAGTGTAGGGTTATAGGGTTATAGGGTTGTAGAGTGTAGGGTTATAGAGTCTAGGGGGTTAGGGATCAACGGGACGCATACACTGTGAGCCGCTATTTATACGCAAGGCACACACCCGCCGTCACCGCAGAGACCGAAGAGAAAAGCACCTTCTCAGCGAAGGACTCATCGACATCTACCCCAAGTATATGCCGTCTCTATATCAAAGTGCGCATAGCAGGGGTGAAGGTGTGGTTTCTGCGCAAAAAGTGCGTTACAACTCTGTCTGGTGGGCCGTATTATCTTTTCCTCGTTGACACGGACACTCTAAACAGAGGAACTGCTAGGCGATGCAGCCGCAGGTCATGGCAAAGTGGGACTACACACAGTGCACCCACTGGGTAATATGGGCGCTTAAGTTCGAGAGAGAAAGGAAATGGCGTGACAGGG